CTGCTGAGCTGAGTAGGTCCATGTCCACCCAAAATCATCATTCCAGGTACTTTCCCTCCTGCCACAGTATGTGAAGAGTGAGCTCAGCTGTCAGAGAAAAGGCAGCAGTGTCTTCTACATGCATTAGCACAACTGTGCTTATATTGAAGAGGCACAGAAGCGACTGAAATTGTGTACCCTACTTTCTCAGTAAAGTTCACTGTAACTGAATGTGAACACGTGGTGTGCGCCACAGTTTTTTTATATATCCTGATTTGTGATATTTTGCTCCTTTTTACCATTTATTAAAAAGGCACTAAACCCTTATTTTCCCACATAACTTTAGATGTTACTACTTCAACAACAAAAAAGTTCATAACAAACAAGAGGAATCTTTTCCCAAGCCACCAATCTAAAGACACCAGTTTGTGGAATAATACCTAACATTATAGGTACTGTGACTTTGACCCCGATATATAGTCCAGCAATCCAATAAACAGGTTTTCTCTTTATCTTGCAAAAGCATCTTTTCTGACATAATCAAGGTTTACAATATTTTATTTAACCAGATTTTAATTTTTTAAGTGTTTAAAAATTATACATAATTGCAAAAACTATGCTGAACACTCAAAACTTAAGAGTCTTGTTTTTGCTTTACCTTTGTCGTAAGTTATCAGTAACTGTAGTCCTGAACAAATTGGGCTATGAACTATTTTTATTGCAAAAATGCTAGGTCACAATGGGTTTTCTTACTTGGATCTAAACTGTGAGCTCCTTTTAGAACAGAGATCTAATCCTGTTCATTTTCTCTTCCACTAGCTGGTATGGAATAGGTGCTTAATGTCTGTGGTATGAGTGAAAGAACTGAATAGAAGTTTACAACCAAAATTTTTAATAAGACAAAAAATTTAAAACTCCAAAGTCACTGGTTATAAAGAATATGCAATTCATTTGAGATTTATTGCATTTAAAGAAAGCAGATTATTAAAACAGGTATGATAAATACAGTAAGAAAATAACTTTAAATTTCAAACAACACAAAGTGAATGGGGGACAGCATTCATTCAATAGGAATAAGCAATGTCAAGGCAAAGTAGTAAAATCAGTTAGTGCTTACTTAGATATAGGGGAAAAAACAACTGGTTCTATCTCAGAACAGTTTCTACCTATATTTGAATTGAAGTTACTTAGAAAGTACATTTTATAACAATTAGAAATATAATAAAGATGTAAATCAGGCTTATTAAAAGTTAAAGTTATTTGCTTAGTGGTACATAAAAGGCTTCAGAAAATTCAAGTTTAACAGAAAATGGAAGTGTAATCAAAGAAAGTGCACTTAAAGCTGTTTGCCAGCAATTAAAAAGCAGTTTAACTATTACCATACTGCTTACTATTAGATGACTTTCAATCACAAAGAGTATAATAATAAAAACAATTCTTTCAAAAGTAGCGCAAGTTTTTAAATAAAAATAACCCTAAATGATGGCCCTTTGCATTTTCATCCGTCTACCATATTCTTTTAGTGGCTTCTGTAAACCCTCTCTAGGAGTAAAAGTTCTTTTTGTAATGATTGTGGGTGCAATTCTATTAAAACTAAAAATTCACATTAACTCCCCTGCAGACAGATGTGGCAGGTGTGTGCTCATACACTTATCTTAATATATAAACACCAGTGCGTATAAAAGTTTTCAAATAAACTCATCTCCATTCCTCTCACAGTAAACGTGCCAGCTCATTCTCACAGTAGATTTCTCTGCTCATCAATGAACCTAAAATGATGAATAACTTTGTTTAAAAAAAGGTGTAATGAACATTCTACATATATTAAAATAAATGTACCCACACTCCTCAGGACTAGTGATATTAATACACATGTACCTTCTAGCAATGCTTATACGCAGTACCAAACCTAAAATAAACCACGCAGAGTAGCGAAGAGTGAGAAAACCACTCTGCCTGAGGAACATCAAAGCAGAAGAGTGGGCTCACCTCAGTCTTTTCCTCCAGCAAGATGAGGACAACAATCTATCACACCGTTAAACAATAAACAGGGCAGAGTGAAAAGGTGCATTTATCTACCGTCCTGAATAACATCATCGCTGTGCCCACACACACACAGGGGAGGGGAGGGGCAGTGGAACATTTACACCATGTCCCTGACTGACACTTCTGAATAAATATTCTAGTCAGTTAAAATGTCATGCAGCCTACCATCTTTCCTCCTCCACTTAATATCTATATACCAAGCAACGTCTGTGTCTCAACAGATACATTCTTCAATGCCATAAAAGCTAATCTTTAAAATTAACATTTTGCTGAAATGACACTACTAAAATAATTAAGCAAATGGTCCACTTCTAGAGATTACTCAAAATCAACAAGCATGATTAAAGCTGTTAGAGCAAAAAAATAACTTTGGCCTCAGATTTTTGCTAGCTTCATATTTAACTTCCCTTAGTGATGTTCAAGTATTACAGGTTTAGAGTTACAACTATTTAACATGCTAAAGAAGCACAGAGGACACTTGATTAATAATAGGAAAATAGTTTCTATTCACCTTTCCTTCCTCAAACAAGAATCGGACCATCCTGTTTTAGAGCCAAAGTTTTACTGGGTGCTGTTAAACTTTTTCACATGCCTTGGGAGCGCTATTCTCGAACATGGCATCAGCTGTAGAGTCACCTACATCCTCACAGAAGCGGGAGGAGATGACAGAACAGAGAGCAGTCCTGATCCCACACCGCTGGGGAAAGGCCCCCACTTCGGCACATGGGAATCTCCCCACTTCCAACCCACGCAGCCCCCTACTACATGTTTCTTCTGAGCCATAATCTGAAAAATGGGAAGTCACTGGGCTATGATGACGTAAGAAACTTAAGAATGTAAATATTTTAAACAGTGTCAAGGCTGTTTCCTTAGAATTTAGCCAACATTACAAACCGAAGTGTCTGTCAGTGTCTAAGTCATTCAAAAGCATTCAGTGTATTGCTGAAAGCAAATGTAAGCGAGGCCTGGTATCAGAGTCTAGATATTTCTTGCTTACACCCTATGAAGACCACACTAATTCATCCACCAGCTCTTCTAAATACAAAATTCATGAGGTCTAGCAGAGACCAAGGCCAAGGACTAAAATAGTCAAAGAAGCATACTGTGCACATCAACCAACAGATTATCATTTTAAAAAAATTCTTCTGTTTGATACAAACCTACTGGTAGTTCATGAGTTTACTATATGTAATCATCAAGTCTTCACTTTTAAAAGAAAGTATCCCATTAATCTACCTGAGAATCAGAAAAGAAAAACACGTGCAAACACACTATTTGCCTTTGGCACGGGACAAGTCATGGGTGCAGTCGGGCTCTGAAAGTGTCCCTGGGAAGCAGTGAGGCCATGCTTGGTCTGCCTCTGCTAGCTCTGATTCACACACCGCTTCCCTGTTTGTCCGGATTTGTTTCTGTCTTAAACTAGAAAAGAGAAGGAATGAAAAAAAAGGAATATATGGTATAGTTACACATACCTGGCTTCTTTCCAAGTTCAGAACTGTGAAAACAAGCAAATAGCTCATCCCCATTGGGACACTATAATTAAGAGATTCTATCAGTTATGAGATTACTCATAAAACAGATTTTCATTGGGTTCAAAGAGAATTAATTGAAAATATAGCAATCAAGGAGAGTGCCAGTTTCCACCCTTTTTGTAAATAACCTTTAACAGTTCTAGAAACTTCTAAATGTTAATTTGACAGGGAAGGACAGTTATTTTAATTATAACTTAAAATACTTGAAAACAGAAGCACAGATACTGTATTCACATTAATTCATACATACAGTTTCTATCTTCTTAGACAGTTTCTATAAAAAATCTCAAGTTTCTAATTAGGATCTGCGATGTAAAAAAAGAAAAAGGCAATTTCGTAGCTGGGTTCTTTCCACTAACGACATTGTCCACCAGCAGAGGTAAGAGTCCCTCATCTTCTCACACAGCCACTGTAAGGCCTCGCTCGTCCAGGCCGAGGTACTTGCAGCAGGAGCTGAGAGCCCTGCATGTAAGGCCTGTGGCTTTCACTGCTCTGTGCACTTCATTAAAACTACTCCGCCCCCCAAACCTAACTGAAAACCTGTCGCTCGTGACTTCGGGAATATATTTGGTGAAGGTGGTAATTTAATAAAGTACAGTATTAAATGCAACATGATTTTACATTGTAAACATCTTAAAAACTCAGGGTTTCCACTACGTATTTTTTCCTGAAATAAAAGTTCTATATAACCCTTGTCCTCACTCCCAGTTTTTCAATAATCTACTTTGTTAGGGACATGAAAGTCTAAGTTTGAGGAAGAAGCTATTCAAGAGCTGAATATTATATATTCCTCAAGTATTTTTTTTTCTCTTTTTGTTCTAGGCTTCTAGGTAAATATTCCATATTAATGGCACTTGTTTTTAAAAATAAAAGTTTTAGGCACAGTAATTACTTCTGGCTCTGCTTTGTAGAGAAAGGTAGAAGGACTAAAATCTCCGCATTCTCCATATTATAACTTTCTGATTCTTTATGAGAATAGAGTTGTTTTACTGTGTGGAAATTAGAAGAGATCTTTAAAAAAAGTGCAACCTGTATTTGTACAGATAACCTCAGCTTTAATGCTGGATTCTGGAATGAGCCTAGGGCGTGCACCTGAAAGTGACATTTAGTATAAAAATAACAACTCAGCTTCCTAGCCCCTCTTCGGCGGCTAAAAATGGGAAGCCACATGCTCTCCCTGGATTTCTGTGCCGTTGTCAAGCCAGTCGCTGAAACCCTGGGTCAGAGCTTCCAGTTCAGCTCCTTTTCCTGCGTGGAAGAGACACTGAGTCACTAACCTGTGGAGGTACTTCCTTTTTCTATTTGGTTTATTTAAAAATCACCTATTCGATTGACCTGTAAGAATGAATAATATAAAGGGCTATACAAATCAATTTTCTTTCCAATTCAGAAAACTATTCACTTTTTTGAAACAGGGGTTGACACCAAGTCCATCAGAAGTATCTACTGTTTGGAAGGAAATGGAGCAGCACCAAATGGGTCTAATTCGACTGACTGGGCCTGTTGGGACTGAGGAGAAGTAATGCTTCGCACCACAAGTTCCGTAAAGGGGACGGCACCAAAATCATCCATTTTCAATGCATCTGCACTATGGAATGACCCATGCAGCGAACTGGGTCTTTGCCGCCCGGGCAGCACGGGATTATGGTCTGCACGGAGGTCACTGAGGCCCTGATGCGGAGGGTGCCACTGCAGGTCTGGGGGATGGAAGGGCTTGGCCCCAAAGGGGTCCAACAGACTCTCCTCGGGAGCCAGGACATTGCCTCTGTCTTTCCCATCAGTCAGCGTAACGCTGATGTTCTCCTTGGAGTCTGAGATGGTTAAAAATTCATTGCTGCTTTGAGAGTCTCGGCGGCCCACCTTTTTGTGCCTGCGGGCCCTCTCTGGAGTGCGGTAGGTGGGCTTCGTGGGCTTCTTTGTGCTGGTCGGCGTGCCGTGGTGCCGCTTCCCATTAGTTTTGGACAAATCCTGTTTGGTGCGCCTTTGGCGTGAAGACAGTTTCTGCAAGCTACGCTGTTTGACTTTTTGCTGCTGACTCCCAGTTATTTCCTCAAAGGGCACAAGCCCAAAAAGGTCCTCGTGGATGTCACTTTTACTTGTGGATGTGGGAAAGGGCTGAAATGGAGTGGAGCCAAATATATCTGTACTTTTGGGACAACCTGGGAGAGTCTGCATTTCAGGCCCCACTGCACGACCGTCTTGTATGTTCACCTTTTTGCTAAAGGGTGCCTTTGTGAATACATCAAATTCTTCTTGCTCTAGTCCCACACTAGGGAAAAAGGTCTGTTGAGAGAGGTTCTTCTCATTTTCTCTTTGTTGGGGCTGTTGAGCATGCACGGCAAAGAAGGGGACTGCGCCAAACACGTCAAACTCGTCTTTGGGGGTCTGCACTGCAGCATCACAGGGTAACTGGGCTGGGCTGGTGGGCGTTACATTAGGATCTTGGATTGGCCCACTGCCAGATTTGGCTCTGTAGGCGGGGCTCCTGTCACTGTACTTGGTTTTGGCCTGTTCGTACTCAGAGTCAGAGCTATGTTTCTCCTCCTCTTCTTCATCTTCAGAGTCCATGAGGAGGGGCCTATGACCCAGATTTTCTGGTTCAGTATCATCATCATTGAAATCTCCCTGTTCTCCCTGAAGAATTTCTTCATCCTCTTGCTCTTCCTCTTCACTGCTCTTAGGAGAAGGGGGATCTGATTCAAAATCACTTTCAGATTCATCATTTTCCTTCTGCACTTGACCCTGTAGTGATGAATTCTCTGAGTTTTTCTTTCCAGCCCGGTGGTCTTTAGATACTGGACTTGTCTTTCTATTCTTGATAGGGTTTGTAGAGCTATTTTTTTCATTCATGGATGAAAGTTCAATTTTCTTTTCAGGAGAACCTGCAGGTTCAAAGAAAAATAATTACGGCATTCTAATGCATGTCAAAAAACCATTTCCACTAAACAATACTTACTAACACAAAGCATTCCAAATCCCGCATACCAGTTCCCATAGAGTAAGAAATGATGTCAGTTATCTTTAGGGTAAGGGAATTGCACTTGTTCTCACCTGAATGGTCTGGTCTTTAGGACAAACAGAATGACTTGTCTGTGTTCCCTGTGTACCACCTATTCGCCATTGGCCCTCACCTACAGCTCAGTTTTATTTATAACACCCAGAGTAGAACACTGAATATAGTACACATGCAAACTTCCTTTTCCCACCTTCAGAATAAGACCATTCAGATAACTGCCCCTGCAAGTATCTTTTAATTACCAAGCAACCTTCTGCTTATATTTCAATTCTATTATTAAGTTTTCCCACAGAGCGACAAGCAGGAATAGCTCATCTGCTTAAATATTTGTTTCACTGTGATTTTCTTAATTGGCAGTCCGTGTTTTTGTAAACTGGTACCTTATGAGTCGGGTTAACATGGCATGCATCCCCACAGCCTGACCAAAGCTAAGGACCAGGTACTGAACTTAAACTCTGCTGGGGACATCTGCCTTCTCTAGATGACACATCTTCCTGTAACTATCATTTCTATACTACTAGATATTACATTAAAAAACGTATGTTATGATACCCTTTAAAAAAAACCTTAGCTATCACTGTCGTCACCCTATCATCAAGAATAAAATTGCATCACAAATAGTGCGCTTTACACTTTCATTGTATGGTATACACTAAAGATAGTGTATTAGTTTACATGAAAATATGCTGCCCTCCCAACGCACTGATTTTCCAGAGGTAGGGATCAAACTGAATTGACCCAACTGCATATCCATTCACCCTTTCCCCCCCGTGACTATGATCACATACTTTCAAACCCATTCACTAGGGCTGGAAGTATAGTCTGTGTCATGAAACCTGATTAGCTTACAATGGGAGGATTACCACTTCCCACTAATAACATGGTGCTGCTCCCTGTGGCATACGACACCTTGAGTTACTTCCTTTTCTCCGGAAGTCAGCTCTCTGGTCGTCCCTTCTCTCTTGCCCATTCTCAGTCGTATTTGTAGACTCCTCCTTCACCAGCATCTCCTTAAACACGTGTGTTCCTGGGGTTCTGTCCTTGGTTGTCCTCCCTTAGCATGTCTTCCCTGGGTCTTAACTAATGGATATTGTCACATACCTCATAATGAGTGGATCTCTTAACCCTTACCATGAACAATTATCTATCTTATTCATCTAATACTTAGCATTAATATGTATCCTACCATTAATTCAAACTCAATAATTTCAAAAGAACTCATCCTTCCTGTTAAAATGGGCTCCTCACCAGTTCCTCTAAATTCCCGCAGAAAAGCACTTCCTTGTTCTGCAAGATAGCAGAAAGTCATTTCTGCTGAAAGTCATTTTCCCTCTCCCACCAGTGTTTTGAAAATCTGGAATCTGTTCCCTTCTGTCCCTCTGCCAGTTGTTTATTTCATCCCCCCCCCCCCGCATCTCTCATCCTGTAGCTCTTTAGCTTTGTAACTTGCCGCCTGCCCCCAGCCCCATACGGCTCAAACTGCTCCTCGGCCCTGTCACCCGTACGACTTCTGAAACACTGATCATGTGGCTACGACTTAAAACCTGCTAGTGGCTCTCTGACATTCCACCTGTACAGGGTGCCCTTCTTTGGCTCTGTCCTACCCTGTCTTTGGCCTTGGACCCTGACGTCTCCCATGGATATTCTTCATTACAGCCACACCTGAACTCTCCCTGCTTAGGAACTGAGCAGATTTGGAGGGAGTGGATTTTGTTTGTTTTTTAGCCGTCTAGCTATCCAACCTCTTAAAGTTTGCTATCAGAAACTGAGGAACCTAAGAGATTTGTGTCCAGGGGCACTCTACTGTTTTAACACCCTTCCACCATTTAATACAATCCCCAGCACGAATGTCCTAGCATTCCCACTCCCACCTGACTTGCCTGGTAGACCTGGCTATATTTCAGGACCCAGCCTTGTCTCAGCTTTTTGGAGGCACCCCTTGAAAAACATCTGTATTTGGTGCTTCTGATGAATCTAGTGAAAGCCTTAATTGTAGCACCTACTGAACTGTATTATAATTTTTTGTTTAGTTGCTTGGTTTCCTACTTAATAATGAGCTCGTAGACACAAGCATATTTATCACTTACCTCATGTATCATTCATTTCTACCCTAGTACTGTGCTGAATCAGTATTTATTGAATGAAACAATTAGTGAGTACTCTGAACTCACAGCTATGGACACATACACAGTCAATATATTCAGAATACAATAAAGTAAGTTATTCAGAAAAATAAGCCCTTTACATCGGAGATGTTTTTAGCTCAGAATTCAGTTAGTTACATTTTTTGATTCAGCAAAAACATAGGATCCTTTATTATATGCTATATACACTGATCATACATCTGTGTAAACTCCAGGAGTTTACGCTCAGGTGTGGGGACAGCACAAGTACATGGACTTTGGTGCTCTGGAAGAAAAGCAGGGGCGCGAGTCCAGCACAGGGAAGGCATCGGCCTCCTCTGGACAGTCAGCAAAGGCTCCCTGCGGAGACGAGTGAACAGCGACCAGGACAGGCAGAAAGCTGCTCCAACTAAAAGCTCCAGCATGTATGAAGGCCAATTCAAGAAAGACGTTGGCACATGGGCAAGGGGCTGAGAGCACAGTGAGTGAGCACTGGGAACACTGTACAACAAGAGGTAGGAGGAGGGGAACTGGGAAGGACCGAACTGGGAAGGTCCTTTACGGCCATGACAAAGAGTTCGGATTTTGTTCTCAACTGTAGAGTGGAAAGCCATTACAGGCTCTATTTAAAATGAGTATCATGATCAGATTGGTATTTCAAAACATAACTAAGGAGAGGGTGCAGAGTGGGGAGATCGGGGAAGAGGAAATTGGTCATTCACTAGAAAGTATGGCGGCCTGGACAATGGCAGTGGCGGCAGGGTCAGAAGTGGAGGCATAAGAGAATGAAGAGGAAAACTCTGGATGGATGGTAGTGCCATTAACAGAAAAGAGTGAATAAATAAGGTGAGAGTAGAGAACATTATCAGGCATTGGTTTTGAACACACAGCTTGTGGTATTTATCTGTGAGATAGTGAAGTGTAAGCTGATATCTGAGGCTTGAGCACAATGGTTGGTTTTTAGCTGGAGAAAACAGGTTTGGGAGTTACTGCCATGCAGAGGATATGTAGCAAGTCACGGGTCCGAAGAAAATCACCTAGGAAGAGAGTAGAGAAGAGGAAAAGGGAAGGGGATCCAAATGTTTGAGACCTCAGGTGACAAACACAAGTCAGCAGAGGAAGCTGCAAGGCAAACTGACAACTGCCAGAAAAAAGGACTAAAAGCAGGTGGGTGCAACATTACAGAGGATGAGGACTTGTCTCCAGGGGAGGGAGCAGACAGCTGAGCTGGGTGATGCAAAGAGCTCCGGTGAACCGAGGATAGACATGGCCACGGGCTCTGGCCAGCTCTGCAGTCTGTTGGCAATCCTGAAGTGAGCAGAGGGCGGGAGGCCTAGTGGGGCTGTGTGAGAGCGAGAGCAGACATGGAGAGTTCCATCAAGTGGTGCTGAAACACAAATATCATCTTCATTCACTATTCACCTGCCCAGTTCCTTGAAACCAGGGAAGAGCTATTGGCTGTTTCTTGACATATTTATAATGGGCTTATCTTAAATCCTAACAGATTAAAGCCAAATCAAATGCAGATTCCCCAGTGGACTTCCCCATACAGCATGTCTGAATGAAAAATAAAGATTACTTTGAGATTTGCCGTAAAATTTATTTTCATGAATTTTTATTCAAAAGCAAAAAATTTAATGGCAAAGACACACAATCGTCCCTAGTGCTGGGAAATTTCCTCTATGGTGCATTACAACGTATTACTCCCTCAAGCTACCTACCCACACAGAGAGAACCACAATGTGCACCCTTCACAGCTGCTCAGGCACATCTTCAGGAACATTCCAATGTTCCCCAAAGTGTATCCTGCAGAACACTATTGCCATAACAAGAACCAAACAGCTCTATGGTCTCAGGTAACAGTGTATAAAATGCTGCACTATATAATGTAGGGCCACCCTTGCTCACCTATATTAAAGGTGCCGGCAAGCCCTACAGAAAAGAATCTGTTTCACTACACTTCTATTTACATGAAACACCTATTAACCTTCAAAAGCTCCTTGGGAAAATGCCCTACAACTTCTCTGGGAAAATTTCCTTTTCTAGGGCACAGAGTTTTGTTTCTAAGGGTCTTCTGGAACACTTAACATAGGACTAAAATCCTTCAACTGACCTTCTTTTGTTATTCTTATATTTTACTCCCGTCTTCTAAACCAACTGCCTCCTCTACCCGGTTGGCCAACACTGCTTTCCGAGCACGACTGTCACCTACCTCTCATCCTGCCCGCCCTCCGCCGGTGTCTCGGGCCTGCGTTAATGGAGATGCACATTTCTTGGTCGAGAAGTGCCATCCAGAACTATATTTTAATTGTCAGTGTGGATATAAATCTGTGGTCTTTTCATTTTTAGTGCATCTTTACAGACAGCAGTCACAGTGCATTACTGCTCTGACAGGAACATAGCAGCACACTGTGTGTACAACGTTCAACTACCTACAGAACCTCCAGGGGGTTTCTAGTCTGGTCAGCACTTTAAACAGAGCCATGACCACGCACTTTTCCTGGAGGGGGAAAAATAATAAAACTCTCCCTTTTAAATATCAATTTTACTTTATTGATTTACCCCCCCACCCCCCATGCATAATACACAGCTAATAAAGTTAAGCCACTAACAATCTCTGGATGAGATCACAGCTAAACACTCTCTGTTCCTTCACACATGAGGGAATATATAATACACATTATCATATTATGAAGAAACAATATAATAGGTTCTACAACATAAGATTCTTGTAAAGAAAGCA